ATTTCATAGGTGCACAAAATTGTAAAGCTCGACATCCATTGTGCAACCTTCTCTTATGCTGTACTAAAAAAAAAAAAAATAGTATTATATGGTGCAAAACTAATTTAAATGCATTTTCTTTTACTGAAAATTTGGGCTTGATAAACAGTTGCACTTATATCATGTGACATAAAAAACTAACTGCCACCATTTTATGACACCCTGCAAAGCCGGCTCTGGCAGCAAAAGAGTTAAACCCTCAAAGCAGAATAACTGTAGCAGAGTTACACTTCTAAAGGTTTGTTCAGAACTTGTAAATTGGATAAATGAGCCAAAATCGATTTCCAGAGCTGAAAGAAAGACCCCTCCCCCCCCAACCCATGGATCGGCCAAAATGAGCAGAATATATTGTCTTGTGCCACTCATTTTCTGACTTTTGCAGGGGGAAGTCATACAGCTGTTGGGCAACAACAAATCTTTCACCGCCGTACGAAACATTCCGGCAAATAGGAGGAAAAAAAAATAAAAAAAATTTGTGTTTGACAACAGCTACATGCCACAGGTGAGCGTGTCCGATCATAGTGGACAAGGACGCAAATTGAAAGGCTCGTACGGCTGTACATGACCACAGAGTCATTTTCAGTAATTCACACCAGAGGTCATTAGTGACCAGCCAATCACAGAAGTGCAAGTACCAGGAGCCATGCCGTGCAGAGAATTATGAGGATCATAAACCCTTGCAAAGCTCCAGGCAGACAGCTCAACGTAAAATCAGAGCTGAAATACATAGACGTGAAGAGGTTTCGCCGCCAATATATTTGCATTGAGCTCAACCGGTCTTGGGGTACACAGGCCTCTGAAACTCCTCAGCTGTCACTTTCCTACTCATTCGGCAATACAGTAGCGTTGTAATCCCTATTCTTTGTCAATTGAGCAAGCAGGTGACAGGGAGCTGCAAACTGGAAGCAGAATCTGTGGTGTCACCCTGCTGGTTATACAGCAAATGGGGGGGGAAGGGGGTCAAGAGTGGCTGAACAGCTTTACTAATCATATCTATATATCTATATGGATTCCAACTTTAAAAGGATTATGCAATGATAATGTAAAACTACGGGCAAAAAACAAAACAAAAAACAAATTCCTGAAAAGCACCAAAGGATGCAAGTATACGTGGTGTGCACCAAAGCTTTTGCAAACCCAGATATAACCTGGTAATAGTAGCAGAGGCATCAATACTGTGCTGTAGACAGCTTGTGCAGAGAGCAGGGCTCTGGGAAGGGCCAAGTAGGCCCCACCCACTACAGGCTGCCTGTACAAAACTACAGGAGAGGCGGAGACAAGACCAGTCACCCAGCAGAAGGAGAGCAGCAGTAACTGGTTTCTCCTTTCCAGTGTGCCCAGCAATCACCCGCCAGTAACATCTGACATACTGAGGTAACAGTCCAAAACCTCCATTCTGTAGCAAGTGACCATGGACAGCTCTGACCCTGCAGGAGTCTAGATGAGAAGCATCCCTTACATTGTCAGTGGAGAAATATCCCCCTAACTTTCTAGTCAATGGGAGAAGGCCACCCTTACATAATGTTAAGTGAGGAAGAATGGTGGTCAGTGGGAAGAATGCCCCCTAGATTGGTGGTCAGTGGTAAAATGCCTCCTTACATTTCTAGTTAGAGAGGCGACCACCCTTGCATAATGTTCAGTGAGTGAGTGGATGAATGCCCCCTTACATTGGTGATTAGTGGAAAGAAACCACCTTCTCATTGGTGGTCAGTGGGAAATGGGTATTCTTGCATTGTAGTCTTGCGAGGAAGAATGCCTATCTACATTTGTGGTCAGTTGGAAGAATGAATGATGTCATGTTACTGGCTCTGCCAAGTGATGTTGACCCCCAGACTATGAAGGCACCATCACATGGGAAGTCAATTTATCACTGCTCAAGTAACTGCACCATCATATGAGAAGTCAATCTGCCACTGCAAAAAGAACCACATCATACAGGAGGTCAATCTGCCACTGCTTAAGAAACTGCATCATAATAGGGGAGGTCAATATGCCACTGCTCAAGGAACTGCATCATACGGGAGGTCAATCTGTTACTGCACAAGGAGCCACCTTCATCATACAGGAGGTCAATCTGCCACTGCTCAAGGAACTTCATCATCATTCCACAGGTGTAAATCTGATACTGCTAAGGAACTGCATCATCATACAGGAGGTCAGTCTGCCACTGCTCAAGGAAACGCATAGTACAGGTCAGTCTGCCACTGCTCAAGGAAACGCATCGTACAGGAGGTCAATCTGCCACTGCTCAAGGAACCACATTGTACAAGAGGTCAATCTGCCACTGCTTAGGAAACTGCACCATCATATAAAGGGTCAATCTGCCACTGCAAAAGGAACTGAATCATCATATCGGAGGTCAGTCTGCCACTGCTCAAGGAACTCCTAGCAACCTCTGGAGGGACCTCAAGATTCCCTAGTTATAAAGGGCTGCTCCAACATATCAACCTGAAAATTGAAAGCCCTTTAAGTCCAAAACTCTTACTAAAAAAACTTAAAACTTACACCAATTTTTTTTATTTTTTAAACACATGCATACCCGCACAGTATCAGATTTTAAAGTTTAAAATATAAACATAAGGAATGTGACTTCTCCCTCTTCAGATGGTAGAATAGAACTTCACAACATTGCATGGATAGAGTTAAATTTGCTGACCCATATCTATCTATAACTGAAATTTTTTCCATGGACTGAACCTGAAGACTTCTGGAGTATGATCTTTCCCAAAATAATCAACTACAAAACAGCATGGCTTCCCCCCTTTTGCAATCTTGTTTCACACAGTTATTACAAGTTGTCTTTTTTTCTTGCCCAATAGATTCCTTCTCGAGCCAATCTTCCTACAGACTTCAAAAGCTTTGCATTATACATGGCCTCTCTGCTCCGCTGATGGGGCTCTTAATTGGCAAGAGTTGCATCCTTTAAGATGTAAGGCGTGATGTAAAAAATATATGAGTACAGAAGTGGAGAGGCAAGGAGAGGAAACGCTGCACATGCATCTTTCATGAACGACTTTACAAAGCAGATGTCTGGCCAGAGGCGTGCTGTGAGATCTGTGCCCCGGCGCTGACAGAGGCATCAGCTACACTGCACAGGAAGAGACAGGGAGGCTGGTGAGGGTCAGAGGAGCAAGTCAGAGATCTTCCATGAGATCAAAGCACGTTGCCCTCGTCAGACAAAGAAATTAAAGATAAAAATATGATATAGCCATGATTCCCAGGCAATGTTTTAATTTCGCTAAATGATGGCTTTAAAGTTCAAGTGAACCGTTGATTTTTATGGTTAATAAAAATCAGACTGCCAGAAAGTATTTTGTGTGTTTCCGCTAGCACAGCATGCTCTATGGCAAGGGTAGGCAGTCTCTGCATTCCAGCTGTTGTGGAACTAAAGACCTCATGCAGGGCCAGATTTACTCTCCCTGCTGCCCCAAGGCCCAGGTTCCACAATGCGCCCCCCCCCTCCATGTAGAATGGCAACTGGATGGCAGGGTTAGTTAAATTTGTTTATGGTTTATTTTTATTTATTTTTTTGCTTTTTTTACATTTTTATTTATCTTACCTTTTACTTTTTATTAAAACTTTTTAATCATTTTTTAATTTATTTCCTATTTTTTACTTTTTCAAAAAATTAAATTTTTTTAATAAATTTTTTTCACTTAACTTTATCGCTATCACATAGGAGCTAACAAATCCCTGTGTGATAGCATTTGGAGGTGACAGGTTCTCTTTATTGACCCCGTCACCTCCAGAGTTCTAGTACAGCACTGTGCTAGAACTCCTGTGACAGCTGAGAGGGGAAGACTGCTAGCGAAAAGGAAAAAAATCAGGCAAAATACTTTACATTATGTCAGCCTGCCTTGATTGTAGCAGTAAAAAGCAAAGGTTCAGCTGGGCTAAGCTGAATTGCAGCTTATTTCTTGTTTTTAGACCATGAGAATGTCCAACCTATCATACTGTAGCTTTTTTGGAGGAGCAAGGGAGCTTGTTCACTTTCTGCTATGGCCATCAGACAGGTAGTGGGGCAATCCCCCTAAAGTGGGGAAATCCATGGGGGGTCTGCAGAACCTATTGGATTTCCCCTCTTCCTGTTTTGGTGACAACCCAAAATTTGTGATTCTATCACTTTCAGGGATAACAATCACTAGGACAAATAAAAGAGGGTGAATCTTCCTAACAGGGACACAGAATTTTTTTTTCTTTTTTTGAAGCCCGCAGTGGGTACACAAAAAACGAAATACCACAGTGAACAGTGAAAAAGGACATGTGAATACACACAAAGTGGAGTAGGGTGTGCCAACTGGTACATTTTGGGAAACGATAGGGCACTCTGACCCACTGGGATGCAAGGCTCCTGACAGAAGCAAGGGACTCGTGTCAACCTGGCTGAAACCAGGTGGACCATTTCTCCTCCTGGTCAGTTGAAGCAGACTACTGAGTACTGGGTTGGATGCTCTCCCGGAGAGAGACCCCTGGTTCAGGGGAGGAAAGAACCTGAAGGCCACACACCCTTCCCCTAGATTTCAGAGAAGGGGAGAAGACCCACACTATCTATCCCGTTGAGTGAAAAGTACACATAAAAAGTGAACAAAACAAATTAGGAAAAATAAATAAGTGCCGTGTGCTAGACAAAGGCTAGGCCTTGTGGCCCGGTATAAAAATACACCTGGTCTTAGCCAAAAGGCCTAGCCCAAGAGGTATAGTGCAGAAAAAGCTGACGGTCTGAGTGCCTTTCACACAGTGGGGTCCAAAACCTATAGTGCTACTCAGGCAACCCCAGGTCACGCTTGACATAATGGGCTCCCTGCCTCCCGAGCCCATGACCTGACTAGACTTGTAGACCCGTTCAAATCCTGACAAGGGTTCAAAACCTTCATCATTCCACAATGAGTTCCTAGGAAGGCAGTGTTGACCGGTGACATGACACCCAAATACCGTCTCTTCAGAGCACCGTTTGACAATACCTTTCTCCAGTCTAGGAAGAAATTATTCCGGAAGACATCCCTGGTGGTATATTCATGGTCCAGCATGTGTGCAAAGAAGCCAGCCGCCTCCTCAGCCTGGGGGCTGAGCCGGAAAGGCTTACCTGTAATGGGTTAATTTGAAAAAGAAACCTTAAATTTGGCATACAAGCATCAATATACATTTGTGTAACACAAATCTAATCCAGTTAAACAAAATTACCAGTATTAATGTTCTTGGCCAAGATTCACAAATTTTCAATTCTATGCAAACTTTCAGGTGAAAAGATTAATAAAATCGACCCCTTTTAGTGTTTTGTATTTTTCCCTTTTCAGATGGGTTTATTTGTGTACCGTTACTTTTTTTGCTTTCCTTTTGTGAAAAAAAATTTAAAAATGATGCGTCTAATGAGGCGCTGTTTTTTTGGCACAAGAGCAGATCCAGAATATGTAAAAAGTAGGGATGCACCGATACTTTTCAGATACCAGCGCCGATACTTGGCATTTTCATAAGAACTACCAGGGTGGCAGCTGTTGCAGCTAGGACCTGGCTCTGGCGCTCCACCACTGTCCTGAAGTCATTAGTCTGTATTGTTTTAGAAAAACTGTCGCATGACAATAAACAAAAATGTATTAGTACTCGTACTTGTAAGTACTTGGACAAGTATCAGTACTTGTACTCGCAAAACTGGTATCGGTGCATCCCTGTATTTATATTTATAAATACAAAATCATACATTAAAACGTAGATGTACAAATCCCAGGAGCGCTGTGTGCTCCTTACACATGACAGCTGCCTCCTAACTTTTGAAATTTTCTCTAGTCTAGTCTTGGAGCTGGAAAAGTATCTGTACCGAATACGGTACTTGATATCGGTTCAACCCTAGTAAAAAGCTCTTTAACCCTCAGGAGCCATTTAAAGGCTATAACATACTAAAAATCACATTCATTTTGCCTTCCCCATTGACTCCAATGCATTTTATCAACATATTTGGGAAATAAAAACTCTCATCCCTAGCGGCTTGTTGCAGCTGAGGTTGTCTGTGTACTCCGTTCATATTGTGTTGTATTTCATAAACTTCCCTTCCTCCCGAAAAATATTTAAAAAAAAAGGAAATTTGCTTTATTAAGTTCCCCCAATTTTCCCTAAGTCTATATGGTCCAAATGAAAAGAATTACACTTGCCTTCGACTTTAAACTGCACACGCTAGCCATTTGTGTAAAAGGACACCGCTCATTTTCGCAGCTAAATTCTGGGCTGCGTTTCCAAAAATCATGTCAACTAGTTATTTCTCTCCCGGCAACACCAGGGTGGCTTGGAAATGGGTTTTCTCTAACCTCAAACGCCGCAATGCCAAATGCAATGCATAAATCAGCATTTTAAATGATGGAGTGGCTGCGTTCCTCCCTTAAGACGTCAATTTGTATTAATCTGTTTAATGAGGCTCTAAATTGAGCTGATCACTGGCTAGTAATTACGCAGAAGGGAAAACAACAAATCAAGATTTCTTTTTTCCCCCTTTGCTAAATTACAGCCTCTTGACTTTTTACATCGGGGTGCTAAAAATAAACAAAAAGCAAACCCCCAAAAACTTGCAATTTGAATTCAACAATGATCCATCATCTGATGTGTTATAGGTGGAGTTAAGGTACATGTACACAGGGCCGGATTTCCCACAAGGCCAACAGAGGCCCGACCTTGGGGCAGCAGGGAGTAGAGGGGCAGCAGGGGTGTGGAATTCCTATCTCCCGACGCCACGGACATGCAGTTCCGGGCGGATAGTTATCTACATTTAGCCCTGCTTTGGGCAAGCAGGGCTAAATGTACAGCAAGGAAGCCGCTACTTGTTTTGTACAAGTGATCTTGGCGATGTCGCCGAAATCACTTGTATGCAGCCTGCATACAGGGGGGAGCATTAAGGAATCTGGAATTGGGGCAGCAGAGAGTAAATACGGCCCTGCGTGTACACCTGGCCTAAAAACTGGAGGTTGAACTTGAACTGGAGGTGTGTGTGCTGTTACTCACTTTTATTCTGTCAGATTACAAATGCTAGCCCAGTGTCACGCTGTTAAAGTTCTGCAATGAAGGATGACCTGTCTGCGGCCTGTGCTCAGGGCTCATAATATTGGCTGCTGGAGATGGGTGAAATTCTTTCCTGTCATCCTGCGGTTGTCATTGTTCTATTGCAGTGAATGTCTACCATGATCAATACCTAGGCAGAAGATAGGTGGGCCTAACAGTCTGATACTCATTCCAACACATCTGCTCTAAATGGTAACATACAAGTAAATAAATTATCTGCGAGGTACGGTTGCACGGGTATATCACCTCAAAGTAGAAATTATGCTTATACTGTCCATTGGTACCTGGTTATTCAACACATCCAAAACAAGTTCCCTTCTATAATGCTCTTCCTCCCCAAAAATGTTGGCTTGTCTTGTGGTTTATGCCATTACACTTTGATGCTTGCGAACACCAGCTGTCAGATCGAACAAATAAGGTGTCCTGCTCTGGACATTGTCTAGCTTGTTTCATGCCTGAGATCGGAGACAGATCTGCAGAAAGTGCTGCCAATGTTTTTGAGCATTAAAAGTGTGGCAGGCATGTCTTACCATCATAGTAAAACTTCACATCCAGTGGTAGTGGTTCATAGGGTGGAGCAAAAACTGGGCCCTTGTGCTCCAGAAATTTCCATTTGACCCCATCTTCGTGTTTCTCCTCTTCCCACCTGCAACAAATATTGAGCAGATGATAATGACATTTAGATCAGTCAGGGTACATTTCCAACCAACTATGTGCACTTTTAGAAGTGTTGCCACTGTCCCTGGATGGAGCAAATACACGCAGGCAAGTTTGGGTCACGTAGAATTAGAGAATTAAACTGACTTACAATGTCCAAAACTGAGTTTTAATGTACCGAGGGATATATGTAGGCTGCCGTTCCACTTCTCTCTGAAAACGCTAATTGCCTGTCGCCGACCATGAACAAGCTTTCAGGTTTGAAATAGGAGTCAACGTGTTGAAACCATTGGATTAGCATGACAGCTAGGCAACTAGCATTTTTATGGGAAGTTGGCAGAACCTCCTTATTTTCTCATCAGTCTTCCTTTAAAACCATGAGAGCTGTGGGATACACAAGAGTTCCCTTTCACTAACATGATGTGAATGTGCAACTATGTAAAGTGCTGCGTAAATTGTCGGCACTCTATAAAACACCTGTAATAAATAAACAAATAAAATGCTCATCTATGGGTATTTTACCTTCATACCCAACAGGATTCGCCCACCACAGACTGCCTGCAGAAAACGATAGGAGGGGGCAGATACAAGACCACTCACCCTGCACATGGCAAGAGCAGCGAGTGGTCTTTATTGCAGGAAGCTCCAAGTGTTACACTGGATTACAGCAGAGATCGGAAACATTCACAAAGCTCACATGGCTCTTGTATTTAGACAGTGTTTGCTTATCCTGGAGTTCAGTTTTAAGCATGCCAAAAAAGCCCTACAGTTACTAAATTTTACAAAGCCAACACTTTATCCCATGCCAAGTACAATAAATCCTGGAGTGCAGCTTTAATTGACTTTCCCTCCTTCCAGGTTGAGTCAAGGCTAATGACTTCCACTAGAAGCAGCCTTTGTACTCATGAGCACAAGCCTAGTTCGATACACAAAAGGGTTTGTGTCCATATAACAAGGTTTTAGCTGGGCATTTCCTTTTTCAAAATATCTCTCTCGCATATGTAAAAATAAAAACACAACAGGAGTTACAATTTTATTTTATGATTATACCTACACTATAAGGCTAAAAGCATGTGGACACTGTTCCAAATATGTTCTGGCGTTTCCAGTGAAGGATGCAGTTAATGCTACAAAATACAGACATTTTGGGAAGCTGTACGCTTTTAACCTTGTGGTAACAGTTGGGAGAAGGCCCTTTTCTGTTGCAGCATGATGGTGCCCCTGTGTACAAAGCTAGTTCTATAAAGACATGGTTTGAGGAGTCTGGGTGGCGGAACTCAATTGGCCTGCATAGAACCCTGACCTAAACCTTACTGAAAACGTTTGGGATACATTGGAATGCTATTTGTGAGCCAGATCTTGTCCAACATCAGTACCTGAGCTCATGAATGCTCTTTTCGCCGAAAGAATACAAATTCCCACAGACCCTTCAAAATCTTGTGGAAAGCCTTCCCAGAAGAGTGGAGGGCTGTTGTATATGCAAAAAAGGGGGTCAACTCCATACTAATGCTTGTTGCAACAACAATCCCATATAGATGCAATGGTCACGTGTCCTATAACATTTGCTGATATAGTGTACAGTTTGTTAAAATATAATCGCACTCATTGAAACGATATTGAAAAGATAACAAAGTCACCAGTTTTTCCCTAATGAAGTCAATTCAATTTACAAACATGCATTAGCAACACATAAAAATAGATTTTTGAAGTGGAAGAATTTTTAATTGTTTTTCACAAAAAAAATGTATTTATGCTACAGAAGACTTATAATGTACAATGCTATAACAAAAATCTCTAATCAACACGGGGGTAATTGGATTTTGTAAACAAGTGCAATCAAGCTGGGAGGAACAATCGTTACTGTTATGCTTTTGTTAACAATCAGCCACTCTTCAGTTAAAGAAGTTCTCAGAAAAAAACAAACTCTTCATACAGTGACTGTAGAACTCACCCCATAATATGCACGTAAATAGGCCATCGTAAGGCAATGTGCTGTTTCCAAATGGCCAGTGGAGTTCCATGGCAGAACCTTGGAGGTACCTGCACATGAGTCCACTCTCCTTGCCGCAGAAGTCCCTTGCTGCTCACTGTGGTTCCATCCACCAGCTCCCACATTGATAAAAGACACAGAGGTGACGTAGGGGCTGATGTATAGAACCACAGAGCATAAAGGTTGACCAGGCATCCAATAAACTCAGAAGGGTCTGATGCAGAAGTTTCTTCAGCCATGTAGCCCTTCAAGAGGGAAGATCAGTGATGGGACAGGTAAGAACATCTCTACAGTCACCTCTCCCCAATCTAGTGTTCATAGAGTTGGTACTCTTACAGTACTGCTGCTTTTACAGCTCATTTACAGCCACATCTTATGAGCTGCAGGCCATTGTAAGACATTTGATTAAATATCAGGCAAAAGCAGCAGAGGCAAGCCTTCTTGACCTTTTGAACAGGTTTGAAACAGGTCCCATTTGCGACTATGATGCCCTAGTGGGCCCCAGAAATGCTTACCCGCACCTTACCCTTACCACCTCTCTTCACTGCCTTGACACAAGTACCCAGCCAAGCTGAATGTTCATGCCTATGGCAGTTTCAGCTGCCTACATGGCTGACCACCCTCCAATAACTATGGACACCCATAAATTCTCAGCTTTCTCCAAACCACCACCATATGCACTCAAAAAGGAACCTAAACCTTTCTATATCACTCTCCTGCAGGACCTGTTCCGCAAATGATCAGTCTTTGTACTCATGAGAAAATCTATTTAAAGTTGAAACATCCTCCTCAATCTGTATGATGTCCACCTGATTTCATCTTGTCAGATTTGATATTGGATCTGGAGAAAAGTCTTTTATCTCTCGCTCAGCCACGCTATAAAACAGCCGAAAAGATAATACCTTTGCTTTGTATCCCAGAAACAATGGACAGATGCTTCAAAGGAATGAGTCAAATTGTGCAGCTTCTGTCATGAGAATAAATTGCTCTTTGTCGGGAAGATTTATTAACCCTTTCTGGCTTCAGGAGTCATTGGATACTGAGGGTTGCCTCATTATATTTCACCTTGGAGGATTTCCAAGAAAAAAAACACATTTTATCTGGGGCCCCTTATTGTAAATTGAAAGGGGTCCCCACTTCCCACCATACAGAGCAGATAATAGCATGTGTGTAATGAGTAGAAGATAGTGAAAACCAGGAGTGAAAACCAGTAGTTGAAGAATCCTTTTTTGTACAACAGATGTGTATAACACAAAACTAGAAAAAGGGTCTAAGAACAGATATTAAACTTAAAAATAAAACCATAAAAAGACAATTGGGCACTTCCAACTTGTGGCATCAGTTTGGTGAATTCCCTTTTCTGTTCCACCATGACTTCCACTGTGCACAAAGCCAGCTCCATAACGACATTAAGTGGCCTGCACAGACCCCTGACAGCAACCCTACTAAACGCCTTTGGGATGAACTGAAACACTGGCGTGCAAGCCAGGTGCTTTTGTTCAACATCAGTACCTGACTTTATAAATACTCCTGTACAGAATAATCACAGATGATTCCTACAGAAACCCAAATATCTTAAAAAGCTTAGCAGTATTTTGTACCTGACAATGACATTCATCCACCCATTATGGCAGTACATTATATCCACTCTTATTGGTGAGCAAAGCTCTGGGAACCCGTCTTGCTTACCTACCTGTAATGCTGGAGAGGATACCAACTGCAAGCGTTCCCTGGCATAAAGAAAGGTGATGTACGCAACAGTACCAGCAGGTTTCTTAAAACCAAATTGCATTCAAACCTGCTTTATGAGGCTTCTGTCTGCAGACAGAAATTGCCCAGCACAGACTTCCGGAAGCAGACCAACGTATCTCATATGCAAGGAGTTTTCCAGACCCCTTAATGTTTAAACATAAAAAGATGGAATGGAAGCGGTCATCGTTTAATTTTTCTAAGTTTCTTGGGCTGCATGTTTGTTCCAGGGCAGTGATTCACACAGGAGTGAAATCTCAGGTTGACAGCGCCAGAGGCAGTACCTTTAAAAACCAGTGAACAATCTAGGCCAGAAAGGCTGATTTGGGAAAATTCTCCAATTCAGCTCACTTTCCAGTTCATCTATGTCCTAGATTGTTCACTTCTCCTGCCTTCTCCAAACTCTGCAAGTCAGCAGTGCTAGCTTCCAAATTTCTATCCCGACATGTTCACTTTAAAGGTTGTTTTTCCCAGTAGAATTTAGGACCCGATTCTTACCACCTCCAGCGAGCAGCCTCTTCCTCCTCTTTCTTCTTTACTTTAAGAGCAATGGCCACATCCCTCTCTTCTTTCGTTTTCTTCTTTGGTTTATCCACTTCCTCTTTTGGTTCCTTCTTTATTTTCTTTTTCTGGAAAAGAAAAGTTATTCTAATACTTACAGGTTCACTTTAACGCTTCCTCACTGTGATAACTATTTTTTCTGCCTGTTCTATTCACTCTTTCCATTGCTAGCCAACAGTTTCCCAACATTGTTCCCAACTGTTCACCCTATTTCATGCTTTCCCTATGAAAATCTGCTCATTTGATAATGCCATCAATGTTGCAGAATTTCATTTGAGATGTCGTTTAACTTTAACATTTGATTCTTCCTAATTATAATTTGAATTTTAAAACTTGGTTGATTCTAGTTAGAACTCCCACACCAGAATGCTTGGTAGATGCGATTGTGTGGTAAAGCGTGTTAATTGCATGGGACTGTTCGAATAACGCACTCTACTGGTGTGAATGGGACCTTAAAAACACCGACAGACACATACAACCACTGACACAATCCCACACACTCCCAAAAAAATGAAATTTTTGTTCTTTAAGATTCCCCCATCTCCCTACCTTACGAGAACTGGAGTGGATCTTCAGCCTGGGGTCCAGTGTGGGCTGCTGTTTTGTGACGGAGCTCTATCCATACGTGCATTGCTTACAGCTCCCTTGCTTGCCCTGTA